GTAGAAATGTGTGGTCTTCTAAGGTCTCAAAGAGAAGAAGTAGGGTGGGGGTGAGCATCCCCTGAAGACCAGCTGACCTCTGACTGCATGTTGTCTGCTGGTGGGGATCCTGGACTTACCTGAGCCTCAGTTTCTTTAACTTCGAAATGCGAATAAATTAATACTCTCCTGGAGGGTGACAGTGAATCTCAAGTGAGATGATAGACAGAAAAGCACTTTGTAAAGTACAGCACAAATGGGAGACTAATCCCAACCTGGTTCCTAACTTCTGGCACGCTTCCCTTCCTGAGGCTTTCATTTGTGTCTTGCGTAGGGTTGCCAGATAAAATACAGACTAAATAATTAGTATAAGTATGTCTCAAACATTGCCTGGGACATACTTACACTAAAAAATGTGTCGTTTATCTGAAATTCAAATTTAACTGGGTGTCCTATATTTTCATTTGCTAAATCTGACAATTTTATCCTTGTAAGAAGCCCAAGATGAGTGTTGGCCTTATCTCAGTTAACTTCCACCGCACCATCAGCCGACTGGGAGAGGAGAGGTTTATTTATGTGCATTATCCCTGCCTCTAATGGGGAGAAACCACAGGGCTCCAGGGACTGACCAGCTTATGCAGAGAGTAAGGCAGGAGGGCTAGGTCCCACTCCACCCCAACCCCAACTCTTCCTGAATAGCCTGCTTGCTGCAAGGAGGGTGGGACTGTGGACTGCTTTTCTCAGAGGTAAGGACAGCCTCTGTCATCTAGATAACCAGTAAAAACAATTTTTCCTGACATGCATGTTGAAGCATTTAAGGGGAAGTGTACCGTTGTCTGCAGTTTACTTTAAAATGCATAAAGAAAAAAATAAGGTGGATTTATGAATGAATGAATAAAGGGATGGATGGATAGATGATAAAATATAATAAAATGTTACTTGTAGAACCCAGGACGTGATATGTATGCATTCACTATGACACCATTTCAACTTTGCTGTATATTTGAAATTGTTCATAATAAAATGTCGAAAAAATTTAATTAATTAAAATAAAATTTTAAAATTCAATCCTTATAGAAAAATTGGAAAATACAGAAAAATGGACTCCCAAATCTCCATTCTCACAACTCAGCAATATTTTTATGTATTTCTTTCCTGCCTTTTTCTATGCACTTGCTGTTATGGTTGTTATACAAAATTGGGACCATTCACCATTCCTATAAGTCAAGCTCCGGAATACCCTGGGGCAGAAGTTTTGTTGCCCATCCCTATCCCCCTTTCTAGATGGCTTCCTAGCCTGAGCATTTCTCTGGCTTTATCTTCCATTAAAGAATCATCACCCAGCCTTGCAAATATTTTAATGTCCTTCCTGGGCTGGAGGAGGCACTCACTAAGACAGAGCCCCTCCCTCCCAAGCGGGGCACTAGAGCCCAGGGAGGGACAGGGCAGCACTCAGGTGACCCACAGGTAGTTAGGACTGTGACACAGCCAATCTCTGTCCACTGGAGAGAGAGTGAGGGGAGGTGTCAGATGTCTGGAGGCCTGTGAGGTACAGGGCTTAGAGGACATTCTCTTGAGTAGGGGGGTCGAGGGCGTTATGTCTAGAAATAGAGTGGTCATCAGCAAAGAGCAGTAGGATGGGTGAGATCATTTAAATTTGGGTTTATAGTTAAATGCGTCATTTAAATTCCATTTCTACCTGCTAGTATCACCATTTCCCAATATTTAGAAGATATTTCTGTCTTATTTCTCTCTGTTAAGCCCTTAAAACTGGACCACTGTCTCCATGCTGGGCACAAACAGGGAGAGAAAAGGCTGAAGAGCCTTATAAGCCCAATATTGCTTTTACTCTGCCTTTTCAGGGAGGTGGTGAAGTCTTGGAGACCAAAGCACCTGGGCTGGAGCCCCAGCTCTGTCAGGTGCCCTTAGGTGACTTTGCATACATTAGTTCTCTCCTCTCAGCCTCAGTTTCCTGGTCTGTAAAGCAAAAGGAATGCTTTTTGTTTCTGTAGGAGGTAAGACAGGGCATATGCAGGTGTGCGGCATGGGGCCAGACCCAAGGAGGCCCTTTGTGTCGTGAGCGGAGTTGGCCTCCTCCCCTGGCCTCCTTAGGGAGGTCACGTTGACTTGCAGACTTGGCTTCGCTCCATCACACACGGCTCTCTTCCCTGGAGCCCGAGTGGAATGTTTTCTCTTTCCTCCTCCTCCTCCTTTTCCTGTGCACTGTCTGTGGGACTCCTCCAGTGTCCCAGGGCTCCTCAGGGGCAGCCGAGCCTTCTCCTGCCCGGCTCCTGCCCCGTAACCCACCAGGCTGTTTCCAATTTGAACGCCATGCATCTTGCCCCTTCAGATCATAGCCGCCTCTTTGATGGAACTAATGATGATCTAGGGCTCCAAGGCCCCGGACCTCCCCAAACTGAGATAAATCCTGCCTCTCTGCAGACAAGGGGCCTCCAGCCCGGCATCTGATCCCCTCATTCAAGCTGGAATGGGAGGGGAGGTGTCTCTGAGAGCCCCCTCTTGGAGAACAGTGTGGGCTGCAGCTGGAACCAAGGAGACAGGAAGAGAGGGATTTCTCCAAGGCTGTGAAGAGAGTCCCACCAGGCAATGGGGGGAGTTGGCAGGCTATGAAAGGGTCAGCTGGGCACGCCTTATCCTAGCAAGACTTGGGGGCACAAGCTGGAGCAGACAGCAATCACTTATACCTGCTGGGTTATCAGGCTCAGTTCCACAAACAGGCCCTGACAGCCTCCTTGCCTGCTGGGGACACAGGGAGGACTGACATCTATTTCCTGCTCTCAGGGGTTCAGGGGTGTGGGAGAGGGATTACAACCCCAATAGTGTGTGCTGGGGTGGCAGTGGGAAGCCTGGGCGCTGTGGGAGCACAACAGAGAGGACCTGACCCAGCCTGGGGAGCCTGGAAGGCTTCCGGGAAGAGGTAGCCCTAATTTGGTCCTTGTACAGGCCTCACACTGCACAGATTATATGCCCTACCCATAGCAAATTAAAAATAGAAAAGAATACTAAACCCTAAATCATAAATCTTATATGCCGAGAGAAAAGAGCTCTTTCTAGATTTTCTGATTAGAAAATTTGGATAAGCTCGACAGTGAAACTTAACTATCTTTGTTTTTTTGGTTCCGTTAGCGTCGTATGCAAATGATCAGGTATGTGTCCAGCACTGGCTGAGCGGACACTCTGGGCACGCCTGCATGTGTCTGTGTGTGGCTTTCCACAGAAGGGTCTGAGGAAAAGCAACGTAGGGGGTGTTAGGGATGGCAGTGGCTTCTTGTGGCCAGAGTTCTGGGTGCCTGAAGGCTGGTGGTGGTGGAGGTGTACCCAGGCAGAAGGTGCCACTCAGCAGTAACCAGCTCCTGTAACTCTACGGCCTTCTCCAAAACCCAGTGTGACTCCAGGGCAGGGAATTTATTGGCTCTACTGCACTGACCAGGTACGCGTTGGTATAGGTCTAAGAGGCCTATGAAGCTGCACTGGTTTTATCAAGTGAAGAATAAAGAGCCACTATCAGCAAACTGGGGCCCTCCCCAGCCCCTCCACCCTGGGTATCCTCTCTAATCACGGGCTGCTGCCATACCTCCCATCCTATTCCCCAGCTACCCTTGGATGCATTGCCATTGGCTGGTCTCTCCTGAGCACATCGTGTCTCTGAACAGGCCATTGAATGAGGGAGTAGTAGGTGCCATGCTTCCACAGGTTGGAGGGCTTGTGTCAGAGTCAGTGGGGCTGGGAGGTGGGGTGGAGAGACAAGACGATCTGATTCTGCCCAGGGACATTCCTTTCTGAAGAGGGCAGCTGCCCAGACAGCACCCCTTTCTTCCCAACATCCCCAACCTTGCCCTCTGCTTTTTTAACCTTTCATTTCCTCCTCCTTCACCCTCTGCTGCCAACAGCCCAAATTCCACCTTAAATGTGTTAATTTAAAAAGTTAAAATTAATTCAGGTTTAACTAAAGAACTTTGGGCTTACCAGGCTGAGGGTAGACGAATTTTCCCAGCAGATGGCTCTGTACTAACCAACACAGGTGTGTGTCCTTAGCTGGAAAGCAGGCGTTCACCTGGCTGGTCCCCAGACTGCCCCTCTTCTTGGGGGGTGAACTCCAAAAGGGATTTAGTACTTCTGTCAGCCCCCCTCCTCCCACCTCAGCCATCTGTTAGGGTGACTTCAGAGACCCCAGCAGCCTGGGCCCAGGCCCTACCTACCTCTATCTGTGTGACCCAATTTTCTGAGCTTCATGACCTCTTATAAAAGGCTCTGAGGGGCCTTCATCCAGGTGGTGGTGACTCTTTGCAGGGGCCAGAGGAAGGAATGAAGGTGTAGGGGTGGGAGAGAGCTTCGCCATGGGCCTTGCTGTAAGCCAAGTCCTGCCATTTTGAGCAGCTTCTGTCTAGAATCCCACCCTGGAAGCCCCACTCAACTTACCAGAAAACAGGTGTGTGGCCCCAGTGTTCTCCTGACTGGGAGCCCTGAGGTTAGGGGCTATCCTTGCTTGTTTTTGAGGCCATCACTTTGCTCCGGGCAGTAAATACAGTTGGTGCCCAATAAATGTCTGTTGTGTGGAACTCTATACCCAGAATACCGGCCCTGTTCAGTCACGCAGCAGCCAGCCATGGTCCCTGGAGAGGGGTTTTGGGGTGGTGGTCTGGTGGGGTGTGTGTGGTCTTGCAGAGACCTCACGGGGTGGTGGTGGGGCAGTTGGGAATTGTCTTGCCAGGCTGGGCTAGGCCAGACACGGACCTCAACCTTAGCTTTACAGAAGGGCTGTGGCTTCTCACCCTGGGGCGGCAGCCATGCACCCAGAGGAGGAGGCGTCTGCAGTCTGTGCCCATCACCTGAGCCGCACCGGGTGGGGTGGATAACTATTATTGGGAGAGGTTAAAAAAAAAAAAAATCATTATCAAATAACTACAGCTTGAAAAAGTTGGCGGGCGGAACGGAAAACGCGGCCTGGATCACGCTGTGGCCGCTGCCGCTCCAGGCGCACCGCGCCGCGGTAGCCTAAAGTGGGAGGAAGCACATCTGTAACGCATTTATGTGATGTTCACCTTTGAGACCGTGCGGCTGGATGGAGGCGGTGAGTTCACGCGAAAGGAAAAACTCTTTAAGAGGCTTTCCTTAGGGGACCTGCCTGGCGCAGGCAGCCGCGAGCCCAGGCGGCGGGGAAGGGCGCCCCCTGCCTGGCGCGCGCGGAGCGGGGACTCTCGCCGGGGTGGGTGTGGAAGTGGGTCGGATGGGATGGGATGGGGAAGGGAGTGGGTGCCACCTCTCTGAACCTGTTTCCCAGTCTGTATAAGAGGTGGCTGGATTTTAAGGGCCCTTCCATTGGGAACATTCTACGAGTCCCTTCTGGTGTGATTCTGTGTCCCTGATGGAGGGAGAGGGACCAGCTCTTGGGTGGGAAAACTGCAGGAGGAAACCTCTTTATGTCCTGTTATTGTCAGCTCTGTCATTGCCTTCCCGGCCCTTTCTCTGCATTCCACAGCCAATGACAGCTTCTGGATAAGGGTTTGTCACCTGAGCGAGGCCAGATCTACCTTCCTGGACAATCGGTGCTTAGTCCATGCAGAAGACTGCACGAGGCCCTGCTTCTATAGGAAGAGATGACCTTGCCCCTCCAACCTTCTCATTTCTAGTTGTTCCCACCTCTTAGGTCTTCAGCATGTCTCTCTCTCTCTCCCACCTTCCCTCTGGGGATTTCTTTGCCAGAGTGGTCAGCATGTGGTTCGGCCCTCCTCATTCCCTTTCCTCAGTCACTTTGAAGTTGGCCCAAGTTCCCTCACCAGAACATCCCAGGGGCTGATTTTGCCTCCAGAGCAAAAGCAGATTGCAGGCTGACTCAGGCTTCCAAAAGGCCTCTGAGCTCTTCAAAGTTTGAGTTTTAAAAAAGCTTTTAAAAGGTAGGCTGTGGAGGACTGGAGAGATGCAGGAGTGAAGTCCAGGGACTCCTCCCTGGGGACTCCCCTACACACACACACACACACACACACACACACACACACACACACACACACACACCCTGACTTGCCCAAGAACAGGGCAGAGCTGGAACACTCCCAAGGCCCAGAATTTCTACCCTTAATATTATGTCATTCCCAGCCTTTGCCCACCAGGAGACAGAAACCACTGGAAAGATACTATTAGGTGGAGCCAGAAACACAGACAGTCCTTTTGTGCAGATTGTGGTCAAGTAGTCACTTGACCACAATGGTTAAGTGACAAATTGGTTAAGAATGGTTAAGATGGCAAATTTTATGCTGTGTGTAATTTGCCATAAAGTTTTTTTGCAAAACAAAAAAGCAGATCCAGAATTTGAACTCAGGTCATTTGGCCCTAGAGCCTGTGCTCTTATCTCTGCACTCTATTGTATACCTAGAAGATGCTCAATAAATACTTATAGATGGAATAAATGGAAATAATGAATGAGTGACTTCAGAGGCTTTTACATATGCTAGTTTTCCTTCTACTCCCTGCTGCCTCAGTGTCCTCATCTTACCCATGGCCCTGGGCACATGAGGTCCCCATGTGTGTCTTCATAGTGGTGGTTTGGGAAAACCCATCTTTGCATTTTCAGTTGTCTCTCTCTTTCCC